GATAGAAATTTAAATCAATTTATGAAGTAAATCTGTTTTACCTCACTCACGATTTTGCAACCATCGAGTTGCTGAACTGCTTCAACTGTAGTATAATTTCGCATAGCAACAGGTATGTTCAACTGGTCTTAACAGTTCATTATCATTTGAATAATAGCTGCACATCCTGGCAGTTGTCAGGCAATTTCCATATACAGTATGAAATAAAATACCAGTACTTCCATTATGTTTGTCTTCCAATAATATCACACAGTCAAGCTGCTGTAAATAAATACCTTGATATATTATACATATTTAAATAAAAGATTGGTTCTAGGTATCCATAAGCTGCTTGCATTAATAAATTCACTATTTTAAATGGCAAATACAGGTTCAACTTGTCTTTTATATACTTGGAAAAACAGGCTATGAACTAGGGATTATATCTTTGGAACATATGAACCTTTCTTTCAGTCCCCTATTCTTTTTGAGATTCCTGAATACTCTGCTGTTCCTGCATCTTTTTCAAGGAAGTTGATGGTCAGTGGACCCATAGCTAGTTGGTTAGTTCTGTAGCCATCTTTGTGAGAAAGTGAGCTTAAACTTTCAAGCAGCACTGCTTCTCACAGGAGGTCCAGATGCCCTGTACACCCTCCTCAAACCTTCTACTATTCCTTTCCACAGTGACCATGCTGGTTCTGATGGTCTAGAGAAGAGGATTTGCTTCCCCTTCAGCACAATAGCAAGAATTTTTTCCCCCAAAGGCTAGAGCGTACTCATTTTACTTACAGATACAGCATCATAATTTTGTTCTTGTTTTAAACTGATGTTCCTTCAATTGGTATCAGTCTCAGTGAAATAGCAATACTGGCTTTTCTTACAGCAGAACAATGCTTTTTGGCTTTACGTGTCGCTCCTTCACTCTCCTTTTTTAAAAACTGTTTTTTCTCTCCAGCTTTTTTTCTTATTAGAAATAGTTCCTCACTGAAGTGGCCAACAGAAATCAGCTGCTTATTACTATGGCTGTAATTCAAATTGACACTATTATTTGTCACAGTCAAATTCCTATTCAGATAATATTTCTACCACCTAAAATTCTTGGATTTGCTTCAAGAGGAGAAGGTATCCTTCATTTCTTGACCTAAAACTTTTTAGCTAGGCAATGTTAGGTAGTTGCAACATTTTACCCTTGCAGTGCACTTCACTGATGGAGGAAGTGATGCATAAACAGTCTGCAATTCATTTTATAAAGTGCTTTGGAGTTTCTGGATGAAAACTATTATGCTAATTTATCAAATGCTCATTAAAAACTAGATGGTTATTTTCAGCATGTGACAAATTAGCAGATAAACCTTGAAGGTACAGTACTCCATACCTTACCCAGAGGTCAAAGAGCCTAACAATTAATCAAATATCACAGAACTCGTTATTACCATATTTACTTAACTCTAAGATGAGACTTCTTTCCCCATTCAGCAAGGGAGGCAGGTGGGGGGAAATCCTTGTCATAGATCTGAGTATGGTCCAGGCAAGCAGCTGCTGCAGCTCTGGACAAGGCCAGGATGGCTCATGAACCAGGTACGGGGTGCATGGAGGAAGCATGGGGGAAGGAGACACAAACTGGGAGAGAGCACAGGGAAAAGGGGGTATGCAGTGCCAGGAGTAGCTCATGGAAAAGGGTGCACAGTGCTGAAGAGAGCATGGGGAAGGGGTGTGCAGTGCAGGATGGGGAGCATAGGGGGAAGGGTTGCAGGGGAAGGGACATGTGGAGCTAGGAGAATACAGGGAAGGGGTGTGAGAAACAGGGCAAGCAATGTAGGGGGCAGCATGGGGGAAAGGGTACTGGCAGAAGCATGGGGAAGAGGCACATGGTGCAGGGAGGAGTGGGGGAAGGGATGCATGGAGCAAAAGGAGTGCAGGTAAAGGGGAGCATGTAGAGAGGGGAATGTAGAGCATAGAGACAGGTGCAGGGGAAGAGAAGCAGGGAACAAGAGGGGTGCAGGGGAAAGACCATGTGGTGGAGGGGAGATGCAGAAAAGGGGGGAAGGGGGAGGTGCTGCGCTCCAGCTCTAACCCTGATCCAGACTAGAGCGGGAGCTACTGCTACTGCCTGACCCAGTCAGGTGCTCTGTGCCCTTAATGGAGAGAGAGCCAGAGCAGCTGCAAAGGTAACGAGGGCAGGGAGGGACAGCAGGAGTGGGGAGGCAAGCACCAGAGGGGGGCAGGTGGCAGGAGGGGAGGAGGACACACGGGGCATGGGGCAGGCTGCCTTCCCCCCACCCCCAGCTCTGCTTTCCCTAGTACCACTTTCCCTGAGCTAGTAGTAGGGGGAATTAAAACAAATTTATAATTTTCCATATCTAAAATCTAAGAATGGGGGGGGGGGTGTCTTAAATTTGAAATAATCTCAAATTTGGGTAACTATGCTACTTAGAGTCAAATCTCTTGTACCATTTCTGGAATTTTTCTATTTGATTTACCTGGTTTAAAATAAGTGTTGATTTTTTATCCATATAATGGGCTGGATAAAAAGTATTATTTTTATCTGTTGGGTACAAGTGTAATTTTTTTTTTTTTTTTGCATTACAGTAACTTACATTAAAATCTCATGGCATTTTACATCATTTTACACAGAATTCTCTGTTATTTGTCAGTCACTAAAACATTTTGGAAAACCTGCTGGAATATTCTGGTAAACATTCTAAAACTCTCCTGTCACACCGCCACTCCGTTTTCTACCATTTTGACATCAGTGTGTGCATGGACATATGTGGGCTCATATAGTGAGACATTAAATACTTTTATCATTTGCGATTCTACAGGTAAGGTATCATTAACATTTCACTTTTATCAGCTGCTACTTCCACAAGTGTAACCACAGGTCAGAAGTCACTCCATGTTAATACCTGTTGTGTAAAACTCATGAGAATACTTACTTTTCAAGCCAGTTTCAGGGAAAAGTGAATGGAATGAAAGGGTTTTTTTAGGCAAGTTTTTTGTGTTTTGACATCACTTGTGTACATTATTTAGCAAGATGTATAATTAGCAGGATCTAGCTGCTTTTAGTATTTTTGGGTGGGGTGAAAAAGAACAATACATCTTTACATCCATCTATTGCACAATAAATGTTCCCCATTATTTTATAGTTTACTATAACCTGCATGTTTACTAAATTATCTAATTCAAACACTATATTGAACAACTCTAAAGGAGCCATTCTGGTTCAACTGGCTCAGCAACTCCTGAAAAAAAATCTCTAAGCAAGCCATTGTATACAAAATGTACTGAAACAGCTTTGCAAGAGCTCATGTGAGTAAATACACTCATTAAAAAAACCCAACAACTTGGTAATATAAGGTACAGTACAGTATACACATGATATACCATAATGGCTCCAAAAAGAGTTATTCCAGACAGTAACAATGCATTTGTTTAGTTTCCTCCTTAACATTAAAATTAAAACAATCCCCAAAGGACATTTAAACTATAAACAAAACCTACTTTGAATTGATTTAGATCAATAAAACTAAAGGAATGAACATTATCCAAGCAAACACTCCATCTTTAACACCAATGCAAATGTTCCAGGATATTGCAGGACCTTCTGGTACATGCTCTATATAGAGCTGGTACAGCCTTGTAACACCAATGGTCACCATTGGTCAGGTTGGAATGTCAGCACAAATTCCTAGCCTTCATGCTTAATTTCTCCTTTTGTGCACTTAAAGTAAGAACATTAAAATAATTCCAAAAACGTTTATACAGCAATATATAGAGCAATAGAATCCAGATTTCCTTTTATTAAATCAGCCCTCTATAAATATAAAACTCTTTAATACGTAAAAATGTGTTTCAATCATACTTCAGTTGTCACAGCTTTCATAAGGAATACCTAATTAGAACCAGTACTTTAGAACTATGAATTGTGTTCAATTCAAAGTCCAAGGACAGAACAGTTAAAAACATATTTACTAAGTTTAAATAGAGTCAATTTGCAAAAACAATCTGACAATATTGTCATGTGCTCTTGCAAAGAGTGCATAGGACAGTTCCGCAGCAGTCAAAACAGTAAAATCTTCTGTTTAACCACAAGTTCAAGTTGTAAACATTCCTAATTGCAGCTGCTTGGAAACGTTTTGTTCCTTTCAAGTTTGTATTACCAAGTTGCACTTAGAAGTTCCCCCTTCATTCTTTCATCAGAAGTACATACATTTTTCTCTGTTTAATCCCTTTGGTTGTCCAAAACCAGTAATTAGCAATAATTAGTTCTTGCTCAGCTTCAGCGTGATAATCCTCTCCTTCCAGTGCTTGATACCATCACCCATATGCAAATTTCTTTTTGAGGTCCTTAATGCACAGTTTTGAGAAACAGGTGGATAAGGAAGTCTGTTATGCCTTAATAGGATTTCCTGCAGGTTTTGGATCATAACCATATAGGAAGGTAGCTGCTATTACAAGAATGGCTCCAAAGAAAAAGACACTAAATGGAATATATATATATATAAAAAAAAAAAAGTTAGCTTTTTCAGTCAGTGTAATTTTATACAATCTGGTCCACACAAAAAGAAATAAATTCTTTGGTGTAATGGTCGGCAACCCGCACCCCCCCCCCCCTTTTTTTTTTTTTTAAAAAGGGGGTATGAATGACCAACCCCCCCCCCCCCCCCCCTTTTTTTTTTTTTTAAGAAGCGGGTATGAATGACCAAGCCCGCTACCACTGAATGCTGCCAAAACCCCTCGACTCCACAGGCCACAGATCCAAAGGTTTCATGGGCTGAATCTGGCCAGTGAGCCACAGGTTGCCAACCCCTGCTCTCGTATACTTCTAGTATGGGTAAAATAGTTATCTCCAATTTCTAACAAACAAAGCCAAAGATATATTCTCTCTCTAGTCTTTCAGAATAAAAGAAGAAAAGTAATTAAGATGCTTGCCCCTACATGATACAGCACTGCAAGAGTCTGAAGATTAAAAAGAACACGGTCACTTCCTGAAACAACTGCCAAAGGAGAACCAGTCTAATTACATATAAGTGCCTTTGTTTCCTTGGCTGAAGCTCCATAATATGCACAAGCATTCGACATTAACTACAGTAGTTTTATTTTTATTTTGCTGCATTATCCAGGCTTTAACATGCTTTTGACAGTCCTAGCTGCATCACATCAAATAGTTCAAACATGTCCTAGAAAGGCTATGTCAAATCGTATTGGAGCATATATGGGCAGCAACTAGTTTGAACACTTTTTATATAAAAAAACAAAACAAAAAAAAAAAAAAAAAAAAATAGTATAAAAGAGAAGGAAGGGCTTAACTACCATAAAAAAATGGTATGCATAAAAAAGTATACA